AAAAACACTGTAAAAAACAAAAGACCAAAACAACACCAAGCAAAGAAACCAAGGGAAAAAATGATTTAGAGATCTAGACTACACGGCAACTTCAGAAATACAGTAGTGAGACAGGGTGCCAGCTAAATGAAACTAATGTGCAGTCATCGTCACGAGTGTTTTTACGGTTCGTGGTGAGCGCTAACAGACAAAACGAAGTAGTCTTCGGGGTGGGTGGGTGGAAGGCAGACCATGAGCCACTTTGGAAAGGAACGAACGTTGATCAAGTTGACTGTACTAAAAAAAAAAGTCTCGTTAGGGGGGAAAAAAGCCCAAATTCCTCCTCGTGTTCTTGTCTCTAGAATATCATGATAAATATCATACTGCGCACGGGTGCTTGCTCCTTCTTTCCCATTAAAAATCTGTCGTCTTTATCTCTACTCCTTCTTTTATTTGAATGTTTTTAATCTTGTAACACTTCTAATCTTTGTCGCTTATAAGACTTAGTTGCGTCGCTAGTGCCGTTAAAATCTTCCTAAATTTAGGCTGTAAACAATTTTCAAGGGAAAAAGATAGTCTTTGGAAACCATAATCTCTTATAAGTCAAAGGGATTCGGTAGTTATGCCTGAGTGACGACAGCGTCTAAAACGGGCTTCTTGACCTTTGAGCCCCACACCGCCTATACATGTAGTATTATAGCAAGGTAAAAATGTATGACAGGAGACTCGCACAATACGTAATAAAACGCTTAATGAGGAAAGTATGCGTCACATCAGAACTCGGGACGGTGATATTTTGTTTTTAAAACCAGAGCTAGTATAAGAATCAACCATCACGGGTAAATGAAAATACTTAAAGACTGCATTCTGAGTACATGGCGAGTTTCTACATCTAAAGAAAAATGATGCCATGTAAACCTCGTTCAAACCCGACCCTGGCATTCTATGAATACTACAAATTGTTTAATGGAACTTCGACGCCAAATTGCGAAGCACGACCCATTTCATACATGTTTTTAAAGGACACAATCGCTTCACACCCCAACACACTATGGCAGCTGACCTAACACCACCTTGAGAAAGCGCAAACGCAACATTTTTTCTGAACGTCTACAGAAAGTCTTTCATATTTTGTTACCTCAGAATTACAAAGTTGTATTTGATATTTTTGGCCGTTTTGAGACACTAAGACCACATGGCCAGAAACCAATAAATGTTCTATATAGTATGCTCTATCAAAGTCGTAAGATTATTCAGAGTAGTTATAGAGGTATTCAAAGAATTGCAATCGAAAAAGCTTGACACGATAATGAAATTCAAAATCTTTTACGTCAAATTTCACAAAACTCGGTACTGAGCAGAAAAAATTGCGTTGTTCTGATGTAGCGATTTCGTTTTCATTAGGCCTATTTCTTCTCGTTCGTTCCAGTCCTCGTGAAATACAAATGACCGTACTGTCTGCCTCCACCACTCGTTTTATCAAGAGCACGTTGGTAGTTACAATATGGTTACAATATCAGAATGGTATACGAGACCACTGCTACAGTTATTATTATTTTACATTATGGTAACAGGTTGATATCTCTACTGCGCGGTTACCTGCAGGGAGGCGCGGTCTCGCTGTGAGGGAGACACAACAAATGGAGGGTGAGATGCTACTGGAGCATGATAAATGTGCATGGCATTGTGGTCTGAAGCACCTGGACAAGCCTAGGCAGTGACAAAACTTTGCCAAGTAAGGAAAAAGACTTGGATGAGTCCGATCCCCTACATAACTTACGTGGAAGAAGGATAACATTACATGCGTTCATATGGCAGTCCAGGCAAAAAAAACCAAAAGTGCAAAACAAAAGCATAAAAGGACACATAAAACATGTACACATACAGATACGGTTCACATATGGTTCACAAATACACATGGACATATAGTGGACATATAGGTATTGCGTTTGAATCAACGCAATCATTGAGAACATTTGACTGAACTGAAAATCGTCTTCCAAACACCCCCCCCCCCCCAAAAAAAAATATATATATAAAAATCCACCGCTCTTCTCCTTCACCTGTGCGTGGGGAAGGACAATCAAAAAGTCAACCCCTTCCAAATATAACGTATCAATATAACCTAAAAGATCATGCACCGAATATGCACCGGGTTTCTTTCACCCGCCCCCATCAACCCTTTGTCTCTCTTTCCTTTCAACCCTTCTCTCCACCCTCAGCACCAGTCTCTCGGTTCTCTTCTCAAGCCCCCAATATCCCACATCCACAATATCAGTCATGAGACCCATTGACTGCTGGCTGGAAAATCAATTAAGAGTGCAGGTGGACGTCAATAGTGAGCCAAGATTGCTCAGCCCTATTGCCCACATGAAACCATAGCTTAATCTCAAACATAGCAACGCCAGAGAACCAAGAAAGATTATTATAAAAAGCCAAACCAACAAAAAAAAGTATTGATGTCTTTTTAAAACCTGTTTCAGCTTGCAAATACATTTTCTCTTGCAATATTACCCTCTCGGCCAAAGGTGGGACTCTTGGCAAGGACCATGGCCAGAAGGAAAGAGCGACGACAGGACCATAACAATAACAGAATAGGTCTGGCCATCCCACGCGTCTAGTACAATTCGTGCTCTCCAATTTCAACAAAACAAATCCTAGATTAAAATAAAACAAAAAGAAACAAAAACAACAGCAAATCAATAGCAAAAAAAAAACCCACAAAAAAAAAAAGAAAAAAATCCGACCCGTTCCTTTTGGGCAAAGAATCAAGACAGCTTCAATCCGGCCCACAGGTAAGTTGAGACTGTCGGTAACCATTAATTAGTTTGTCACAGCCCACTTGGGACTTGGAGAGCTGTTATAATAATTATAAAACACAACCTTGAACCAAAAATCGTAGACATCAAAAGG